GGAAGTGTTCAAAGTCAGGTTGGAGGGGGCTTTGAGCAACCTGGTCTAGTAGAAGGTGTTCCTGCTGGGAGTGTGGGGGCGGTGTTGGAACTAGATGATCTTTGAAGGTCCCTTCCAGCCCAAACCCTTCTGTGTGACAGAGGAAAGGCCAAATAAATCGCCGTTGTGTTCTCTTTCCGCTAGGTGTTACTCCCCTTTACCCGGGGTTAGCTCTCATTTTTCTGGTTCTTTCCCTGTTTACACTTCCAGTTTTCTCCCTCCACTGCAGCAACATCCGATTCGAACGCGAGATGTCAAACGGCCCTGTGTGACTCCGAAAGCAGCACCTACATCCAAAGCAGCACAGCAGAAGCTTTCCAGAGGAGCGCCGAAATTAGGAACCGTGACTGCTGCAGGTGAGGTTTGGCAGGTGTGCCGCCTCCCCCTTCCCTCGGCACCCTCCAGCCTGGCACAGCCCACCTGGCCGCCCCAGGGAAACCGCAGGCAAAAGTTCCCCCTGCAGAACCGGGGGAAACGGTGACATTTTTAGATAAAGAATATCGGTTTATGTGACTACAAGGTAACTGTTACGGCTGAAAAGAGAAAGGCTCTTGGGATATCTACCCCTTCCTTTTTAGGAGGAGAAATCATTAGAAACCTTTAGAAATGTAGTACAAGCTTTCTGAAAGTGTTTTCTATAGTATCATCTATTTCACGTGAATCAGAATCAATTTTGTTTCAGATAGTTGTATTTGTTTATAAAACAAATTACCTTTTCTGTGAAATTGGCAGCTTGTTAGCTCCTTAAAGCGGGACACAGCAGCTGCAAGTCCTGTTTCTGTCACTCAAACCCGGATGGATTTTTGTGACTCGGATCAAAACTATCCAAGAAATGTAACAAGTGGCATGTTGTGGCATTTAACGCAATACACACCAAAAAGCGTGATTTAACAAAAAGCGTCACACACACACACAAAAAAAAAACAAACCCAAAACAAACAACTCAAACAACAAACAAACATAACCAAAACCAACAAACCAAAACCTAAGAAAACTGCTTCCAAACAAACAAAATGAGGTAAGACAGTCTGCAACACGCTCCCGCAGCGCTCGGCTACGGCCGCATTTCCTTCCCACCTGAAAAGTACCCCGCGCCTCCCCACCTCGCCCGCCCCCAAGCCCTGCCTCCCGCTGTCTTACCGATTCCCCAAGAGCTCTTTCACCTGGTGGGACAGGGAAGGTCTCCTCACGCCGTCCCAACCCTTTCTGCTACTCTAAATCCAAGGAGCATCTTCATCAGCCCATCAGAACGGGGGGTTTACTCTTAAAGCGCTCCTCTCGAAGGAGGCGGGCTTTATCGGAAACGGCTAAAGTAACCGAAGCTTTCAGATCTGGTAAAGCATCCTCTTTTTCCAAGGGAACAGTTAAAGCATGCCAATAATCAAGCAATTACGTGATTTCTTTTTTAAATAGTGGATACCTTGTTTTCACAGGATTAACTTTAGCTGACTTTTTCACTGCGGTGTTATTAGTGAATCCTTTTAAAATTATCGGTTTGTCAAACTCATTTTAAAATACGAAACGAGCCTGGTGAAATAATACCAATTGGGGTTTTATTTGTTTATTTATGAGATGGTACTTACTTTGCGTGCATTTACCAGGGTTCGGGCTTCCCTCCCCCCCTCGCCCCGCTTCAAACTTTCGGTGCGCACCCGCACCTATGGGACCGGGCGGAGGGGAGGAGGCAGGTAGTGATGCCACGATGAGGTCAGAATCGAGACGAATAGCTCTGCCTTTCACATCTTTTTATTATTATTATTATTATTATTTAGCTTTATTCATACACAGCAATATAGAGAAGCAGGTGAGCGGTCTAAAATCGTTACTGTATTTTTATTACGTCTAACTTAAATACAAAATTAGGCAAAACTCAATTATTTCTTATTTCTCAAGTTTATTTTAAATAAGATATATGTCATCTGTGAAAGTGATTTGCTACTATGAGAACACAACCAATAGATTACAACTGATAAAACGTCGTGCATTTGGGTGCTTAGGAACCAATTTTTATTCAGTATTCAGAAACAGAAAAATAGACCTTTTCTTAAACTAGGCAACCTTTTGAATGATGAAGTCGTTTAAATCGGCATATTCACGAAACCCAGTATTTATTAAACATTTTCCCAGGAATAAAGCAAAGATAATTCTACGAGATGCCTAGGGAAGATTCAAAATTCTCACCGCCCGTGAGGCAGAGCCAGTGACTGAGAGAGCAGCCGGCGCCGTGTCAGATTAGTGGCACTAATCAGCGCTAACTAACTAACTAGTCGTCTGCGCTACGTCAGTTCAGTACGTACGGGAACCGCCGACGTTTGAGCTCCTTTCACCTTGCATTTCAAATACGTACTGTCGCAAGCTTGTCTGTTTGGTTTCATATGTGCGCATAAAATATCCCCCACCGGATTAAAAATATCGAGATGTGGTTTTAATCCACGGATTTTAGGTAAAATGGTTCTGAAAACGGACGGGACCTCGAGGTAGAGCAGCTTAGCGGTTTGAAACCCCGCCGCCCTACGGTCAGACCCGGCACCGGGCGTTCTTTTCCCCGAGGGCGTTACCGAGGGCTGGGCACAGCCAAATTAAACTTCCGAGAACGGGGGGTTCTTATTTTATCTAACCGCCTGCTTTCCTCTGCTATTCATATGAAAGCTTCTACTTCAAAAAATGCCACCAAATACTCTGTGCTTTTCCCCAAAGCGGTTAACACCGGTCGCGAAGTGTCTATTACTCTCTCCGCGGGGACGAGGCCAGAGCCGCCGGGGCCGTGCCTTCCGTTGGGAGCCGGTGGTCGCCTTCGCGGCGGCGAGCAGGGAAAGGCCCGGCCCTGATGGGCTTCCCTCCTGTGTAAAAGCCCCGCGGGCCGGTGGGGGAGGCCCCTGTGCGGAATTGGGGCGGGCTGGGGTGGGCTGGGGTTGAAGGGCCGGAGGGCTGTGAGGAAGGCGGCCCGTCCTCCTTCGTGGGCTCTGAGAGGGACGTGGAGGAGTGGGTTTGCCTCTCCTACAGGTACGTGGGGCGTCCTCTCGGCACCGGTAGCGTGGCCGGTGCCACACGCCATCGCGGTAGGTCGCACCCCAATGCGGGTAGGTGCATCTGTGTGCCTGTTGGCTGTGCCAGCTTGGCAGCGCTTACAGCTGCAGGGTACGGGAAGGCCGGCTAAGCCATGGTACTTCCCTGCAAAATACATAGCTGTAGGTCACCGCTGTCTTTAGCAGCAGTATTTTGCAGTATGAGCAGCATCAACTCATTTAGCAGTAACTGTTGTCCTCCTTAATTCAGCACTCTGTTTTAGAGATGCTGCTGGTTTTAAGTGCTTATGGATGACTGCTTATATCTTACTGTAATGCACTGACACAAAAAGACTATAATACATGTGGATTAAGGTGCCACTATAGTTAGGGGAGAGTAAAACCTTACTTGAAAGCTATAGTTTAATGAATTACCTTCCCTTCTCTCAAATGGAGTGGCTTAATGGGTACAAGGTAGTTTGTCCAAGTGCTGAGCAGACTCTCTTAAACAAAGTCAAGCCTTATCTGTTTCCAAGACCCTAGTTCTCTCAGTTGAATTTATACTGAAACAAACTGTGAAGATCAGAGAAATAATCCTTACTCTAATATTAAACAAAAGCATCTGAGAGTCTTGCTTGTAAAGAAGTATGATGAAGGCTGGCATAAGGGTTAGGAATTCTTCTATGTCAGGCAGAACAGCAACACAGAAAACAGCAACCTGACAAAAACTACGAGGAGGTATTCACATTCTCGTGTAGACTTGCATTGGGTGGGAAAAAAAGCGTTTACTAGTTGTCTCTAGTGGTTACAGCAATAACCTTAAAATTTATGGTTGCAACCATTTTTACATGTTAGGATAGGATTACTTAAAGCTTGGTAGAATGTTTGTGGAGTATATGTAACTATTTAGTCTGATACTGTGAAGGAATACTTGTCTCCAAATAAGTCTGAACAATCAAAACCATTATAGGGCATTAAGAAGTGTTTGGAGGGTGCCACTAAGTTATCAAACTGTTGATCAATTTGGTAACCTATGTTAGGAGTTTGAGGGTAGAATTTCTTCTCTCTGGCCCCTCTTCTACTTACAGTCTGTTCCCAGGATTTCTAATCCCTTAGTTCAATTAAAAAGTAGATTAGGTTAGATAGTGTTGTATTGGGGGGGGGCGGGAGAATATAACAAGGCTTATCTCATTTCTGATAGCATTGTTGTTACAAGTGATACATAAGAAATTATTTGTTTCCAGCAAGGAAATTCTTACCATTGTCAGGAGGGAGGAAAAAAAATGCTCATTGGGCTTTAATGTTTAAAATCCTGTTCAATAGAAAATGTTGCACTATTTCCGTCTTTGGAGCTTTTCTATACCAGATTGGTAAAGCTATGAGAAACTTGATGATACTCTGCTTTTGAGAAGTTGAACTAGCTGACTTTCTGAAGTCTCTTCCAACCTGAATTATCCAATGTCCTGTGTATCAAATACAGATGAAATTTGTTTATATTTGCTTCTTTAGAAGTTTTTATCTTCTGTTAGCTTTAGACTGAGATATTCATAGAATATTTGGGGCTGGAAGGGACCTTTAAAGGTCATCTAGTCCAGCGCCCCTGCAACGAGCAGGAACATCTTTAAGTAGAGCAGGTTGCTCAGAGCCCCGTCCAACCTGATCTTGAATGTTTCCAGGGATGGGGCATCTACCACCTCTACGGGCAACCTGTGCCAGTGTCTCACCACCCTTATTGTAAAAAAATTTCTTCCTTATATATAGTCTAAATTTTCATCTTTTAGTTTAAAGCTGTTACCCTTTGTCCTATTGTAACATAGGCCCTGCTAAAAAGTTTGTCCCCGTATTTCCTGTAGGCCCCCAATATTGAAATGATTGTGTATGCCTGTATGCCTTAAAGAAATAATTAAAAAAAAAAAAGACCAAACTGGTGTGCATGTTATGTTTTTTGTTTAGAACATGGATTCACAGAAGGATGTTCAACCTCCAAAGCAGCAGCCAATGATTTACATTTGTGGAGGTAAAGAAAAGGACATCAATGATTTTTTTTTTTTTTTTTACTTGTTACTGGAGATGTGATGTTTTAATAATGAAGAATGCATTATAGTGAAGAGTACATAAATACAAGTAGTTGCAGTGTGGATCCTGATGTTCTTTAAAACTTTACACACTCATGGTACCACATATATGGGGTACATATGGATAGTGACGTGGAAGTAATTCACTAGAGCTTGTGTTGCTTTGTGGAGGTCCTCCATCTCCAGAGGACACTTTCTCTAAGTGTCTGCTTATGGTGCAAATAGTGGACCTTCCATTTAGTGCATCTTGGAGAGTTTTTGGAAGTGTTGTGTGGTCACTCAGCTCTTATTGAAGTGCAGTAGTCAAATTCACTCTTAACTATATATAAGTCAACAACTTAGAACTTGGTGGTTTTGAGTTGTCACTTCAGGAATCTTTGAAATATTTTGTCTTTTAAGAAAATAAACTTGGGGCTTTGGGGGCCTGAGCTGAAGTTTTCATCAGTAGACAGTCTAGTTGTATCAAGAGTGGAATGTATTCTGTGCAGTAATAACTTAGTGATTTTTAGAAAGATCCGCTTTGAACTTAATATAAGTGAAGTTTGCTAATTATTTTTTTCACAATATCTTTATATCATTCAGCTCTTGATACAAATTCACTAAAACTATTTTTTATTGTTTTGTTTGCCACAAATAGGAATTTGACTGTTATGACTTTTGAAAGCTACCTATGCATTAACAATGCTGGTTTTGTTTACCCATTCCCTTTCTCTTCCTCCATCACATCAGAATGTCATACGGAAAATGAAATAAAGGCAAGAGATCCTATCAGATGCAGAGAATGTGGTTACCGAATAATGTACAAGAAAAGGACAAAAAGATGTATCCTTTTACACAGACACTTGAATGCATTTGGGAAGCTGTGGATGGAGAGAGGTTTGTAAGGGAAACCGGGTGGAAGATTTGAGTATTTATGTAAGAATCCTTCAAGACCAAAATTCAATACAGTAGACAAAAGTACTATAGGGAAACCTCTGCAGTGTGACTGGGAATCTTGGGGTTTTTTTCCTGGTACTTTCTCTCCTTTATCCATTTTCTATACAAAATATAGTAAGCTGTGATATTCTGCTGGGTGGCATGCAATGAACAGTTGGTATTAGTCAACTTTTTAACAAAAGGGAAGTGTTGTGGGGTTAATTAAAGATGAGTTTTGAAATGTTTTTACGTAGTTAGTTGTCACTTTAAATTTAGGCAATCTCTCTTTTGTTTTTGTTTTTTTTCCTCCCCCTGTCCCCCTCTTTCTTCTCTCTGATATTTTTTCAACCATTTTGACACATTTTTTCCCTTTAACTGCCCTATTTCAGTGGTGGTTTTTGATGCCCGATGATTTTGGCTGAAGATATAGTGACTTTATGCTGCAGTTTAATCTTTCTGATAACTTTGCTCTGTAAATCCATTGATGTACAAATGCATGCTCTTGTGTTTTAAGATATTGAAATATTAAATTTTACTGTGATACTAAATTCTGTCTATACTGTCTTCCATCAATAGATTCCTAAAGCTGTTGTTTAAATTGTAGCCAAAGTATGTAGTAATTCAAGTTCAGCAGTATTGTATTTTTTTGAGTTAACCTTGTCTTCATTATTCTCATCTAAACTTTATTTGCATTTTAATTTTGTTAAATGTTCTTTGGATTCCTATGAACTGCATAACTGTGGTTTGAATAAATTCTACTGAAAATAAAGAGAAGGCTACACAAGGCTAGGTCTGAAACACGGACCTGGATTTCAAAAGAGCAAATCTCAAAGGACTTGAGAGCACCCAATTCAGGCACCCATCTGTTGGGGAGGTATATAAAAAAAAAAAAAAAAAAAAAAAAATCACTCAGAAAAGAAGAGGGGAGGGAGGCAACGTAAACATCAGGAAGCAATGTGTAGATAGAAATTCCCAAAGTTCTTCTTGACTTGGTTGTACTCAAGGAAAGAATTAGGTCTGTGCTACAAAGGTAATTTGGGTAGTGTCCCAAAACTAAAAATAGCATCTTGTTTTGCTTTTCAGATGACTTCTCAGGGGTCTGTACTAAAAAGATCAGCGTGGTTGTTTTGTATTGATGACCCAAAACTTTTTTTGCATGTGTGTATTTGGAATGTGTGTTAAGTAATACTGAAATGTCCTTATCACTGAGGTGTACTACAAAATACTGCTGGGTTGTGCCTGATGCTAATTTAGCCTCCTTAAGTACTTCCAAATGTCAATTTTGATGGTGCTAATGATGCTGTTAATTTTGAGATAACGTGTTTAACTCTTACCAGTATAGCAAGGTGTCTTTGTTACAGACTGTGCGACCATGTACAGGCTCATAAATGAACTACAGATGGTTTGGTGGGAGCAAGAGGAGGGTTTGCTGGGCTGCGGGGCACCTTTATCTGCCGGACGGGCGTGGAGAAGCAGAAGCTCCTGCGGCCGCCCCCTGGGGAAGGGGCACCGACCTGCCCCCGGGGGCAGCGCCAGGGGCTGTGGGGCTGGCGGGCAGCAGCGGTGTAGGCACCGAGGAGGGGGGGGGCTGTCTGTTCGACATAAAATACTACATTGGAAACAAGCAGGTGATGTTTTATTAACGCTAACACCCTGCACGCACACACCCCCAACTGCTGTATTTCTGTCCCGCCGCCCTCTTCAGCCCTCACCGCGGCGCTCCGCTCCCGCCCGCGG